CGCGGGTGTTAAGAAATTTTTTCAACCTAGTAGACCGGAGCACCGTGTTTTACTGAACAACATCAAATGCAGACCTTGTCAAATCTCGGTTTTGATTATATTCTGTTCATTTTCAATCGTTTTACTGAATTCTTCAATTCAAGTAATACACTGATACATTACAAACAGTCTTTCAAATCGCCAACTTTACAATTCAATAAGGTCCTCCAACTTCGCAGCTATGTCTCTTACTCTATTAAAGCACTTTCTTGCTTGATTTAACTCATTCTTTTGTTTCATAACACCATTATCCAATCAAATAAAAACAGATGGAAAATTTTTGTAGCATTTGTGCTGCGGTCGCGAATAGGCAGTTGATGTGACACTATTGCAGCTAAGAAATACCCTCGCTCCGCGGCAACTCGAATTACTGCTAAAGCCTAATAGTTAATAATTTGGAGTGAATCTCTCCCCTTCGAATTGCTTTGGCATGAGGACTTTCTTGATGTCGCCACACAGCAAATTCACGGTCCTGACTAGTATCGCTGATCGAACTAATATTGGGTTGTCAGAAAATTTCGCAGGCTTTTTCATTTTTGCTGAATTTTTATGCTTTCAAGTTCTTGCTTTTGGCATCGTTCAGAGCAGTTTCTTGCGGTTATTTTGATATATAGCACTTATACTTATTTTAAGACGAAATTTTCCCGAGCGAGAAAACGATTGTTGATGCTACACGAGTATCGCCTGGATTCAAGTGACACTGAGACTTTCCGCAGAAATAACGTGGCCGGGGGTGATGGAGCAGTTGAGCGAATTGTAGTTTTTGATCGTTTTGATGATTTTCGATGTAGAAATGGAGATTAAGAACTTGCTGCTTTTAACTGTTGGAAGAATTCACAAAAAAAGTCCTGAGAATTATTTACCAAATCAATGTGTAGAATTAGTGTAGGATTTTGATAGTGTATAGTGATAAGAAAAATGCCGATAACAAAATCGCTAGTTGAGCTTGCGACAACAAGCGAGCCAAGACTGACTTGACTTGTCTTAAGATGACTAATCATGTAGCTTATAGTCCTGGGATAAGCTGGCTTTCACAAGATAATCTAAAATTCAAAGTTTTAGCACAAAAAGAAGTGGATGCACTAGCCAAAGATAGATGGTCATCAAACTGTTATATCACAGCTCGTAAGGAACCGCGAACGGAACACACAGAGGCTTCGCAAAACACGTTGAACTATAAGAAAGCGCATGTAAAATGTACTGCTTAGTTTATGCAGAGATTCATTCATGGATCCCCTAACCACGGGATGTTAGTAGATCTAATAGCCCAAGACGGTTCCAGACCTGCACAGTGTTGATGGTGATCGGCAATATTATCACCGTACTCTACGTCTTTGAACATGACAAAAGGGCCATGAGAGCAGGAAAAAGCTGGCTATATAGCATGCACAGCAATAGAAATGGGATAGTTTACTCATTAATCTAACACTATTTAGGAAACTTTGCGGATAAAAGACCGTGTCTGGCTAGTAATGGCAATATTTGGTTGCGAGAACTCAACTCGTAAATAGCGAGAGTTATATCGGTTTTATATCGGCGGCCAGAGAACTCTAACGGTTTGCGCGATGGCCTTGTATCCTTGAGTTTTATAATGTAATGCAACAGAAAATTTTCAAATCAGTGATTGATTAGGCACAAGATATTTCCAGCTGATATACGGAAGAACGACCAAAATCGATACATAAGAACAACCAAGATCGAATGCGCTTATTAATTGCGAAAGTTGCCAAGTTCTCTCCTTATGTTAATCGTTTGCTGATATGGAGAACCGTAAATCTAATCGCTATGTTTCGTCCTCTACCTAACAGAACCTTTTAGACTTTTAGCATAGGCAGTCGATAAATCGAAAAATCAGCAGCGCCGCGCCCTGAGTTTTACATTAGGGTAATCGTGGTAGCATTCCTAACATAAGTGCTGAATTTTGAATTTTTTTTGTATGTTAGGCACTGAATATTTATCGATTGCATCATAGCCCGTATATCCGACCGGTTATTCGTGCCTCGTGGTAATTCATTGATTCTTGTATATATAGTTATTACAGATTTTCAACTGGAAAACAGATTACTTCACACCCACTATCATGCAACTCCCAAAAGTGAAAACAATACTTTTCAGTCTTAATTCTACGACATACTTACTTACTCAAATACTCAGATGGTCCGTCTTTACAAATTGTGCGGCCAACAGCACATATTCCAAATGGTATATTGCTGGTCGTGCATAGGATATTGCTTGGTCCTGACGCAACCTTGCAAGCGTTTTCTCAGGTCTTCACGATGTCGTTTTAAAGGAATGGATTTCGGCGATGGATCCTTGGCCAAGCTTCTCACTTGTTGATTCAGGAATGATGTTAGGCCGAAATCAAAGACAGAAGCAGGGAAGAAAATAAATCGACCCCTCACGGATGATGTTGGAGCCGAAATCTACGACATAGCTACGCAACATTATTTCCAAATGCGCATGAAGCGTATCATTCAAGAATCGTGCTGGCTATACAGTAGACTGCACTATTTGATCGGATATCAAGTGCCATCAAACGACAATCGCACATAATGAACTGCTGATTTTTTCTGTACGGTTTTGGATTTACAGCAGTACTGTCATTGCAGACCATCATTTGGAAAAGATTGTGGGATATTCCGTTACACAAATAATAACAGTTTTTATGAAAAACTCATAAGGCATTACAAAATCTTTCTCCAGAATAGCATGGATTTGATTAGTGTAAATTTTTATTTTCTAAGTGTAAGCATACCAACACCAATATTACAGACGATAACATGATTAAAAGCTGGTTGCAGATGAACCGCTAGAGCAAACTGTACAGACACTGATGCTGTCGTATGGAAAGAGAATCGTAGAACAGCATTAACGCAGTCCTTCAATTGGAAAATAACTGCATTATTGCATCATAAAGAATCGACCGTAGCTTCTCGTCTTCTTCAAATAAGTACACTGCTAATTACTGTGTAATTCATAACGAATCACAAACCTGAACACTTCTATACGGCATCGTAATGGCGCTTGCCGTTACCGTGTACGACTCTCGCAATCGTGTCAAACGATCGTCGACTGAGTTCTGTTCGTCTTGAATGATTTCACGCAACAGCCTTAAAAGTGCTGAGATCTCTCACAGAAAAAGTACAAATGGAATAGCGTTTTAACAATCTGAAACAATCGACAAGTGGATATGTTGTTATAGTCATGATATAGATAGGTATCATGACTTCACTACCCACTGAATCATTACTACTCGGCAACTGCGTATCTTCTTTTAATTAGAAAGTACAGTTATGATCCAATGAGATTTTGTGCAAAAAGTATCCATATAAGGCAGTCAGATATTCATGTACTCATCTAAACGTTCTTATGCTGGATTGATACACGATTGTGCTTTTTTTCTCATTGAAAGAATTGAATTAATCTGATAAGGATATTATATGTTTTGAGCCGATAGGTCTAGTGCTATATAGGCGCCTATTTCGTCCTATTGAGAAAGGACCAATAGGACGAAATAGGCGCCTATATAGCACTAGACCTATCGGCTCAAAACATGTAATATCCTTATCAGATTAATTCATTTTGAACGGGTCTGTAAAAAAGTGGTCGATAGCAAAGGTATAGTTCATTCTAAAAGCCGCAAGCTCGACTGCCGGTCACCACAAAGTCAGGTAATACCATCATTCCTACTTTGTGTGCTTAGTTTTTACTCGGCGCCGATTCCTTTAGAGGATTATTTCACCTCAAGGGATCGACGGAACCGAGGGAGGGTGCTACTGATGAGTCCCAATAGGACGAAATAAGCGCCTATATAGCACTAGACCTATCGGCTCAAAACATGTAATATCCTTATCAGATTAATTCATTTTGAACGGGTCTGTAAAAAAGCGGTCGATAGCAAAGGTATAGTTCATTCTGAAAGAATTGAATCTGAGTTTTTAGAGCTGTGTTCGCCAGAATGTCGACAAAATACTATGTGAAACGTCCCAGGTAAAGAAGCACCCACATATTGTATACCAATGTGATTCCAATTGGCTCTCAATCGTGAAACTAAAAAGAGTTCATTTTCACCTCGACGCCATCAAATTCCATTGTGGAATACCATACTGTCGCGCCTCATCGAAGCACAATTTTATCTCTCGTTCGATCACTGACCTCAGTTCGACTAGTGCGTCTTCGGACACCTGTAAAGTTATGTCAGAATTGTAAACAATAATTGATCAGATAGTGAACATTTCCTCGATTTTGTTTTGCTAGGCGATACGAATCACTTAATGCTAAGAAAAGACCAGGCGAGTCATGAGTTAGCGAAAAATGAATTTGGTTCGAAGCTATTGAAGTATAATAACGGCCAGCATAACACCTGGTGAAATAAGGTGCTTTCTTTAGACCCATTTTTCCTCTTGAAAGAATAACTGCTTGAAAGTGTACGGGCGCGAGTATTCACAATTCATATTATTACTGCTTTTAAATTCAACGGCTACGGTAACAACTTATGAATAATGTAGTTGGTTCTCCTACGGTCAAACGTAGTTATTCGTAACGAACAACGGAACCTGTGTATAAGAAACGGTTGCGGATTGGATAGGTCGAAGGTCAACCAATTGTTTGTCGAAAACAGGTCTCCAATCGCCTGTCTTCTGCAATGAAAATCTAGCAACGGATGTGGGATAGAGATTTTCCATCATAAACAAATGAGCGAGCTGGACTATGGAGCTCAAAAGACATTGTTCAATTCTAGATAGACGTTATTTTAGCACAATCTATTTATAGCGCAAAGAAAAATACTTTGACAACCAACTTTTCATTTACCAAAGCGGCTCATTACTCGTTTTGATTACAGCTAATTTTTATGTCGTCATTTGGAGGAAGCTGCTAAGTTGCAGCGATCCGCATTTTCTGCTGTGGATTTCGTTTCTGCGGAAAATAAATTGGATAGCTAGAGTGATGTGCAAGACTTTCGCGTCAAGCGGGGTTTTGAACCCGCATCCCGCTCTAAGCGGAAGCGCGCGCTTTAGCTCGCTGCGCTATTGACGCCCGTTTTGCCTACCACTCTTTTCACATTACAACGCATCCATCTGTCAACAATCAACCGTTATCGTTTTTGGCCCAGTTGGTCGGTGTCGACATTGAGCCCAGTCACACTGACAGATATTGGGTATTGGACCACCGCAATAAGCGGTTAAATGAAAACGAAGCCTATTAAATTAGATATCATTCCTTTCCTTTCCTGTACACCTTACTTTCTGCAGTCTCTATTACTCGTTCTCTCTTTGTTAACCTCTTCAGGTCACTAGCCCTTACACGGCGACGACCGCTTCCCGATCAAGGCCCATCAGAACGCAGGGCATTGAAAGTCAAGCGAAATACGCACTGAATTCAAGATTTACGTTCTGTTAGGCTCATTGAAAAGCACGGCCCACCATTCTTAAGATTATCGCTCAATTACTCGATTTCCATGCATACTTATATGCCACTCTGACTTCTACATATTTCTTATGATCTTATGTTTATCTCTCTATGCTTTTGAAAACCTGATGCTCTTCTGTCGAGCGATGCTCTATCAAAGAAGGCACGACTCGAACAAAACGAAGAAGAGAAACATAAAAAGTACGAACAACTGTGTATTTTGATTCGAATCATCGGCTTTAGAGAAGACGAGACGTCGAAACGTTAGTAGAATTTATCACTATCGAGGTATTAGCTAAATCGTAAAGGTTACTTCTGACAAGTGAAATCCAAATCGCGTGCGTAGTAAAAAAAGCTAGTATATACTTTGGCCACGGTATTATTGTGTTTTTGCATAGTTTTGTAGAACATTGAAGTGTTTTTCTTCATCTGTTCCAATATTTTCTAAACCACCTATTCCATTCCGACGTCCAAATACGTCTTTTCACATGTTTAGCGCATAAGGAATCTTACTTATGGATCAGCGTCAGTGTAGCATCAGTGGCTGACAAGTTATGAATTGACTACAAAAAATTAGCCAAAAAAGCTCCGTGCAACGAGCCAGAAAAAGGGTCGCATCAAGATTGAGACGTACGATACAAAACGTTCAACAGCATTCATGCCGAAATAAGTGCTCATGGCAAAAGATCGAAATTGCTGTCTCATTTTGTGGATCATTTAAAGACGAAGTGTTAAATCTTTACAAGCAACAAAAACATCGCATATACGGACTGAGTTTCCTATTGGCTGAAAACAATCTCTGTTAGCGTCATCACTTTTCGAGGTGTTATTGATATTATTTATTGAATATAATTATATTATGATTATTGTGTACTCAAGCTGCACTACTGACTGTATTGTAGTATGCTTCGCTAATATTCAATAAATAATATCAATAACACCTCGGAACGGCCAAACAGGAGAAATTATTCATTGATTCAAACTATGCCGAGGTTAATAGATAGTCGGTCTTGGGAGTTATCACCTTTTTTGATTTTTGAAAAAAAATTTTGATTTTGCGTAGACCCTTAACTTACATTTAGATCGAAATTCATTTGACTAGGATGTGAATACGGTTGCACATTTCCATAGATGTTAGTCGGAGTGATAATCGTTCCAATAGAAATGAATGGACACATGGTATCCGTACACGAATAAACGCAGCCTGATAACGATCAACATAAGATAATGATTAGATATGAGAAATGTTCTAGTGACATCTTAGCAGTATTCACCATCACAAGGATTTACAAGATAAGTACCATCGTGCAGGTTCACGAGTACATATGCAGCGTATAGGCCTTCAGGTAGAGCAGTTCCTATAAATGTAAACGTATGCAAATAACATTAGCCTTTCGCATAGTCTTTGGCGCTCAAGCAATTAACACCAATTTTACTAGCCAGGAGTAATTAAAATTGTTCAGTGTAATTGAAGTAGTCGTAGATCGAATTGACAGGTTGAACTTAGATTGAGTTAAATTGAATTGCGCAATCAAAACTACTATGATGTTTATTAAGAGCAGTTTCTAAACAATGTTCTTGCGCTTGCACATCTCTGCTTAAGTGAGCTGATGTAAAATCCATCCATCGTTCTGCCACTTTTTGCCTGCTACCTTCAATATTCTGTTGATTGTCGCATGAGATTGTCGCATGAGTACAATTAAAATCATCGGCAAATTCCTCGATAGTATTGCTTTGATGACGGCCTCCGGATGAATTTCGCGTGAACGTGCGGAGCGCAGCTGGTCCTTCAAGTTGGTGTTGCCGGCGTGAAACTTGGCAAAGAACCAAAGCGCTGTCAGCTGGACACAAGTCTTTGAGCCTTTGGGTTGATGTGATTAAGAATATCTGGGCATCGTGTCCCAAGTCCTACTTGCAAAGCAGCAAATTGTAATGAGGGCTTTATTGAGCGACCACAATGCGGCAAGTATGGACAAACTCCTTACCAAAAGAAAGCTCAGAAAATCCTACACAAAGCGGTATTGATTTGATGCTTGAGAGATGGCAAAAATGCGTCCAGGCTGGTGGCGCACACTTAGAATAGTGTTCTCAGGCAATTTGATTACTTCCGCTCAATTAATTTAGTGTCTATTGCTGTAGTGTCAAAGGGTATGTGAAGACCTAATCACTGTGATTACACCGAATTCACAATTATCTCAGAGGGCATCTTACCGAGAACTAACCAACTGGGTATTTGTAGTGAAAGAAACCAGCAGCAAAGCAGTACAGCATGTTCTTCTTCGTCACCGCATCCAAGCGACAGGAACTGCAATACTGACAATAATTATGTTTAGTGAGTGGAGTAAGAAACTGTAATATCGCGTTCGCCTATAACTGGCCGCAACCCCTTCACCCACTAACAAACGAATGAGTGATAGAGAAAGACTCAAGAGTGTAGGTGCGATAAAATAAGAAAATACCTTTTCAATCGTTGTCCAAACGTCTGTAGAACCAGGAAATAGTGCTGGGTCAGTGACAAATGGAATCATGCACACTAGTCGCGCAGCGATTTTCACGGAAGTCATAGAATCGGTAGTTGGTTTAGGTACCAACGATAGTGGTGGAACTGGATTTAAAAATCTGAAACATCAATTAGCAAGAGATTCATAAACATAAGAAGGCTGAGATACGGGCAGAACTTTGACCCTGAGATGACATTAGAACACGACGATTACCCTTTCCGAGGGCTCACTGAGCTTTCCACTATACCATCAAAACCTTCGCTTTGATTCAATCTCAGCCGTATTTTGACTAAACAATAGCTGCCAGCAATCACCTGTCATTGGGATTAATTTAAGATGGAGAAGTAGGCAAAAACCCCAATTAAGCCGTAATTGTGGTTAACGTCAAAGTTAAAAGATTTGTGTCGTTTTCATCGAATACCTTCACCTGCACGCCAAAACAGACTTCCCGTTAATGTCGGTGACGAGAGCAGCGTAACGACGGGATTCGTACATTGAACTGCATGTGTTCCACCAAACTTCGCATTGTGAAAGAATCTGCATAAAAGTAGAATCTATGGCTTTCACCATGTGTATTAACAAAAATATAAGAAAAATGAACCCTTTAATTCTCAAAAACTCAAACAAGTGATGATGAATCTATTGAAAAAGCAGATGGTTTATTATAGTTCACTACAATGAGAAGGATCATACCTTTTCGCTTTCTAGTGACTCCACTCGCCGCGGAGGTGTCATCCGTGATTGATTCACAGGTGGATTGAATGCTACCAGTATCTTAATGTATGATGGCCGATCGGGCATACTGTAACAAAAAGTCTACTCCATACTTCAACGAATTGAAATCTGCTTTATAGTGCACAAACAGTGTTCCCATATACACCGAACATTGAAATTTGCCTGTTCGCATCGAGCTGATCAATGTCAATTGATGTGTTCCATGGCTCATACTCAATTCTTTTGCCTCAAATCCATTCAGATAAAAAAAAAGATCTGCGAAACTATGACATGGGAAAGGATCCGTAGTTATTTGTTCATTTCTGACGAAACTTTCTATATAACGGAATATAGTGATATCAACAGAAATTCTTGACGATATGATCAAAATTTTAAAGATCACCTGTAACCCGTATGAAAGTTAGGTCGTTGGATTCGTAACCACCCATCCATTTTTCCCATTGCGAACACAGTCGAGAACGGCACCTCAATCCATCCGATGAGACGACGAAGTAACTGTTCGTGCACAGTGTTTTCTTCACGATCGTCCTTATCCAGTGCGCATACAATCTGATAGATAAATATAAATTCCCTTAATTTACTGTTTCAGAAGTGACATGATGATATAAATATACATCTTAGACTACTGAGTAACATAGGGTATAAGCGTTCATTGAAGGAAAAGTGATAGCAAAGCGGTGGTGTCGATAGTGATGTGCTAGCATGTGCCCCTTTTATAGGTGAAAAATTGGTTCAACTTTCAAGTGAATCAAAAATATTGAAGCTTATTGGAGGCGTGCTGTTTACACAAGCATGATATTAATTTCGATCAGCACATAATTAGTTAGTTATACGGAATTTACAGAACGATTTTTCCACGGCTTCTCAATTTTTGATTTTCCTGTTCTATCATGATTAGACTATATGGCATAAGAATGAGCATTTATCATTGTGAATTTGAATACTATAGCTAAGGCTTTCGGCATATTGTCAAGGCGGGGGCAGGAGGTATATTAAAGATGGTGAGAAATTTTCCTTGTCAAAGTTTCATAACGATAACTTAGTTTACAAAAATCACGATTTTTGCATCGGAATTCGATTACGAAAAACAGCGGTTCCAGAGAAATTTCATTCAGTTTTTCGTGATGGTTCTGTTCTTTGCTCTCGCAATATTTTTGATTAAAACGATGAAATCTGCAGCAAACCTCTTTTCTACCAATACAGTTATTCAAGCTAAGTAAGTTATGGTCTTCATGCAGAACCGTAGTTAATAATAAACCGAGGACAGGACAGAGTCATAGAGCTTGTTCTTGAGAACCACTTTCTCAGAAACTCAGAATGAAGCCGTATGTCGTTTCGTTTCACTGAAGTCGGTGTAACGCTATGAAAGTTTCTAGTGAGCGGCGAAAATGA